CCAAACACAAACAGGCCCTCCGAAGCCCCCGAGGCCCAGGAGTTCTAGAGTGAGGGTCTTCTTCCCTCTCTGAAAGATGCCCTCATTCCCACTGCTTCTCCCTGGAGTGGACTTGGAAGCCCCTTCCCCCGAAATGGCCGCACATCCCCTTACAGCATTCTATGCCACCTGCAAAGCCAGGCCCTGACGAACACCAACCCCTACAAGGGGAGACTCTCCCTCCTCGCCTCCTAGCCACCCCCAGTGCTCTGAGAAACCTCCCCAAAGCTCCCCGGCAGAAGGAAGTTCTCCCTCCTCGGACCTCCCACCCCGGCTTCTGTTGCAGCATTGATTTCTGTATCAGAGAGGGGTGTGTGCGTGTGTGTGTGTGTGTGTGCGTGTGTACCAGCTGTCCAGTGTCTCTGTAAAAGAGAACCATGTCTTGCTTTCCTTTGTGACCCCAGTTCCTGGCACAGAGCAAGTGCTATAAACCATGTTTTTGCATTCATTTGCTGGGTGGTTTGGGGGTCACACACCTGGATTCTAGGATCCAACTGTGACGAGAGCTCCAAGACCAGCAGAGCAGGAAATAGAGAACAAGAGATGGGACCCCGCCTCGGCACCTTCCGCGTCAGAGGCCACGTGGCCATCTCTCAGGTCACCCGCCCCTGGCCTGGCCCCACTTGGCTGAGAAGGTGAGGAGGGGCAGCGGCCAGGTCCGTCTGGGTGGCTTGTCTCTGGCATGAGTTCGTTTAATGCCCAGTTTCATGGGAAATTCTTCCTCCTCTCCTCCACTCTTACTGTGGGGGCTTGGGGCTGACCTCAGCTAGAAAAAGAACAAGGGGACCCAGCTCCAGCTGAGAGTGGGGGGTTTCTGCCAGAGAGACTCAGCCTTCCTACAGAAGACCAGAGAAGAGAGCCCTCAACCCAGCCAGGGACTCAGCTCTCTCTAAAGTGTTTACTTTGGTCTTATCCACAGTGAGCTGAAATTGCAAGAACAACCAAAGTAAAATAACAAGAGAACCTCTAGGCGGGAGGTCAGCAGGCAGCAGAGCTTGTGGGATCTTCTCTGGGTGCTTTTGGCAGTAGAGCCAACTGGATGGGTGGCTGCCTGGAGGCAGTGGTACGGCAGAGGTGGCCTGCCCAGTACTACTGGGCCCAGGAGACCTCAACTGGACAGTTAGTTGGCCCTGGGAGGGTAGGGGACTAAAGACAGAGATCGGCTGCTGGGGAGGGAGAGATCTCCTGGGAGGACCTGAGTGTGACAGCCACCAACCTGGACTGCCCTTCTGGTCAGCTCAGGTCCTGCCAGCAGGTCTGGATGTGCTGAGGCAAGCCCCGGCCTTCCCTCCCTCCCCACCGCTGCCCCAGCGTGCCTGGCAGGGCCAAGCTAGCTTCTTCTCACTCCATCTGGAACTGGCTACCTTCCTTCAGGCCAAGAGCAGGTCAGAACCGTCCCGGGCGCCCCAGACGGTCCAGCAGCATCCTGACAGGTATCTCCCCCAGGGAGAGATCTAGGTGTGTTGGGCGAGGGGCAAGCACCCACATCTGAGATCTCCTCTGAGCCTTAGGAATGGGCTCCACGTGGGTAGCACGGGTATCATTACCATGTTTCAGATGAGGAAACTGAGCCCCAGGGCTTCACAGCCAGCAAGAGGCTGAGCCTCATGGGCCCAAGCCCAGACCTCTTGACGCTGGTAGCCACACCCACACTGCGGCCCGCAGTCTGGAGGAGGACACCGTGTGCTGACCTGCTCCGGGACCAGCATGCGGGCAGCCAGGCAGGCCTCAACAGTCCTCTGTCACACTGGCGCTGACCCCTTGGGACTGGGATGCCTTCTGTCTGAGGCCGAAGGGAAAGACTCTCAGCTCTCAGGGAAGGTGTCTGAAGCCGAGACTCCTGCAGTGACCCTCAGCCTGTGCAGCTCTGCAAGGTCCGCCTTAGCCATCCTTCTGCGAAGGTTCCTCAGCACCTGAGGAGGCCGAGTTCAGGAAGCAGGAGCAGTCGTGAGTGCCTCCCGTTAGTCCTGTCAGGTGTCAGGTACCCGGCTCAAGTCCTGCAGAATGTCCTTCGAGTCCTGCAGAAGGTCCTCTCCCTTGCCCCCCAAACCTGTGAGGCACATGTCATTTGCTGTCCCATTGGCCGATGAGGTGACTGGTGTGAGAGCAGTTGGAACCTTGTCTAGAGAGAGGGGCAGCTCTGAGAGAGCAAGTCTGCCAGCTCCCAAGCCCATGCCCTAAGTATTTTGGAGTCCAGTTTCCCACTGCTGGGGACGTTAAGCCTGCCGTGAGGATCCTTGCAGTGCCTCGGTGATAGCTCCTCTCTTCTCCCACCCTGTGGCCCCGATCTCTTTTCTCCTCTGTCTCTCCCCACCCTGGAATCAACCCAGAATAATCCGGATGGCAGGGTGAAATTACCTCCCGTTGCCCGTGCTTTTGAGGAATTCGGTGTTTGCTCAGGCTGCACCTGCTGCAGCTCCAGCGTCCACAAGGTTGGCAGGGAGGGCCAGCTCTGCACGGGCCCAGTAAATGTGCCAGCTCCTGGCCAGCCACTTGCCCAGGTGCTGCTGCAATGGCAGAGCATCACGTCCAGGAAGAGGTGACTTCTAAGCTGCTCCCACCCTGGGCAGGTCGAGGCTGCAGGGGTGTGCGGGCCTGGCTGAGCCCTCTGAACCCGCAGTGTGGGGCCAGGACCAGCAGCACAGATGCCCTGGGAGGAGCCTGCCTCTTGGCCCTGCAGTCTGAAGGAGGATGGTCCCCCACAGAGGAGGCCACCCTGTGCACACCTGGCAGGAGACGGAGGCAGACTGAGTGGGGACAAATCACCCCCTTTTTACAGAGGGTGGAGGCTCCAACACAAGCATCAGGGACCATCAGCGGAAAAAACCCAACTCCCAGTTAGGGGAGGGCTTTACTAGACACCACACTGTCTCGATGAGGCTGACATGGGCCTGTTCGTCCTTTTTGAAGAGATGCCTCTGGAGCTGAAGCTGATCTTAGCTCTCTTCTCGGACTCTTTGCTTTGCAGCCTCAGAATGGGCTGAGAATGATGTCTTCCCTCCCCCTCTCCCTCCTCCCACCTCCCTTTCAGTGTGGACTATGGCTGACAGTGACATTAAGAGCCAGTGCGGTGAAGGCACCTGACCTTGGGGAAGAATGCAGAAAATGTCTGCAGCTTGGAGCAGCTTGCCCCCACCTGGGGCCCAGGAATGCAGGCTTCTGGCCCAGCGGCGCCCTCCTCCCAGTCCCCCCCAGGGAGATGTGCATGCAGTTGGAAGAGAAGGGGGGTAACACTGTTGGAGGCCCCGTGAGGTCACCTGTAACTGCCCAGTTACGGCAGGCAGAGGCAGCTGTGAGCATTGCCTCCCTCACGGCACCAGCACAATGCCATTTATGGTCTTGTCAGGGCCAGGCCCCTGACTCCTGGAATCCCCTTAAGCCTGAGGTCATGGACACAGCTAAACTTTTGACTTCTCAGACCTATAGAACCACAGAATGTCAGAGCCCTTTGAAATCAGCAGCTACTGCATCAGTCCCACTTTACAGATGTGGAAACTGAGTCCCAGCGAAGAATAGGGAGTTGGCCACAGGTATACACTAATTACAGGCCAGGACTTCAGTGTAGGTGCTTTCCCCACCTGCTCCTGCTTCCATAGTGCTAGAGGCCAGCATTGCCTTCTCTCATGAGGGAGATTCAGGTGACCCCCTAAGCTCCCACAGGGTACTTTGCTGGACATCCAGTGACTTCTGTGGATGCCCTTAACTGCCAAGGAGTGGGAGATGCAGCCACATTGGGCCTGTCCTCTATATTCAAGGCAACGCTGTAGCTCCTGGTGATCTGTGCTCTGCATGGACAGCATCGGTAAGGCCGAACTAACTCCAACAGAAGCCTCTTGGGGGCTGAACCCTAAAAATTAAGGACTCTGCTGCCCTCTCGTGGTCACCTCTGGGCATGACTGCTGCCATCCAAGCCTCTGGCAGCTTATCTTCTCCAAGCTATGGAAACCTCCCTTCCCTTCCTTTCCACTCCCTTCCTCCCAGAAAGCACTCCAAGACGGCTGGATGGGGTGAGTGTCATCTCACCTCCCTCTCACCTAGGCCAAAGCCTTGGCTGAACAAAGCAGATGGGAAGGGTGGAACAGCCCTTGTTCGATGTCAGATCCTGGAGGAAGAAGACCTCAGGCCGGCAGGTGAGATCCAGCTGGTTACCCGGACACCTGAGTGTGGGAAGAGACGTGCGGATTCCATGGAGAAGCCTAATCATTCAACACAAGACGGGATGGTTGAAAATTCAGAGGATATTTATTTCTTGGGAAGGTCCACAACAGCTGGAAGCCACTCCCCTCCCTGTCCTAGGGGATTTCTCTCTCCTTTTCTGAGAAATCCCCTCTCTTCTTGGAAGTGCTAATGGGGAGGCTGGGATGTGAACAGAAACCATACACAACACTCTAGAGCCTTAAAAAAATAAAGCAATAAACCACCTCTTCCACACAAATACACACATACAAAACAAATAGACATAAAAGAGAAGCTTTGCTCCTCCTATCCTGGCTCCAAGGCTGCTTGGGAGAGGGGCTGCGGGGCTCTGCCCTACTTCTCCCAGCCAGGATTATTATCCAGAAGCCGAATGGTAAGCAAGTGCCCGGCAGCCCAGAACAAGCCCTGGCTTCAGTGAGAGGAAAGGGACAGACCTCTCCCTGGAGCTCAGCAGGGATTAGGTACAACTGAACAAATAAATAAATAATAAATAGAACCCAAGTGGTCCCAGAGGCCTAAGGGCCCCGTAGGCTGAGGCTCAGGGCCCCTGGGCCTGTTTCCCTGAAAAGAGCAGGTCCAGTGACAGGCGGAAAGAACAACAGGGAAAACACAAGTCCAAAGCCACACCCACCTGACCTCCAGAGCCTGCAACCTTTGGCTCCCCAAAGGGCCCAGCCCAGAACCCTGCCTCAAACCAGCTCTGGAGGAAGGAGGGGTGGGTGGGCTGAGACTTCCCTCTGGCCCAGAGATGCCCTACCCTCTCTGGGGCCAGCAGAGCCTCCCATCGCCCACCCTCCTCGTCTTAACCATCTCCACAGGGGGGAGCTGTGGCTGCCACCAGGCGGGCTCTCTGCTGGGAAAGCTGAGGCATGGCTCTCTCCTGCTCCTATTCTCACTGGCCTCCAACTGGCAGCATTCAAGTCAGCGGAGATTTCTTGTGCGACTATAATCCAAACAGTCCATCCTGGTGACCTCTGCTCCATTTGGCCACAGATGTCCCCACTGCCTCAAGCCAGGGCTTCCTTCAAAGGCTCCCTTTAGGCCAACAGGTACAAGGCGTCAGACGGAAGCAAGAACAGAGAAGGGACAGGAGCCGCTGGAATGGACGGTTTGGGCAGGAAGCCAAACCAGACACGTGAAAAATCCAAGGGAGCAGGGAGTCCCCAGAGGGGGCCGGGGGAGCACGGGGTGGGGACCAGCTGGCCACTCAGCTGGGCAGCAGCACGTGCTCCAGGAGGTAGGTGAGGGAGTCCCAGTGCTTCCAGAGGAGGAAGAGCATGAGGACCAGGAGGGCGGTGCTGGTGATGCGCAGGCGCGTCTTCATGAGGGGCGTGATAAAGTTGGCAATGGTGGACACGAACACCAGAAGCACAGCCATGAGTGCCAGGATCACGTTGATAAACTTGCCCAGCAGCGCCCTGGCGTTGGCGTTCTCCACACCCTCCAGCTGCACCACTTGCTGCTGCTGCTGCTGCAGCTCCAGCTTCGTGACCCGGGTCAGGCAGGACTCCACGGCCTCCTGTGGGGCAGAGGGGTGGGTCGTGGGAGGGGCCGTGCACAGCGTGCCCCTGCTGAAGGCCAGGCAGGGACAGGCTGAGCAGCTACAGCTGGGGGAAGAGCCCTTGACTTGCGACTACTTGGGGAGGCTAGTAAAAAAATGGAGTCCTGACTGCCATGGAAGAGGAGGAGCTAACCCGACCCAACTTCCTCTGGAGGCACTCGGAAACTCCTACCATTCACTGGCGAGGCGGCCATCAAAGGTCTGGGTGTGCACAGCAGCCCTCGCCAGTCAGTTCGCCTGTGCACAGGGCACACTCTCTGCCCTAGGCCTGCCTTGCTCCTCTCTCCACCCCACCATCTTAGTCCATGGGTCCTCTTCATCCGTGGGTCCATCTGCCCCAGCTGATGGAACTGTCGGTGCCCATCATCCCCCACTTGGTAAACCCTCCCCCTCTGGCTGCTGCCGGCTCTATCGGCACATCTGGGACCTCCCCGGGCTGGGGCCCTGGTTGCACCTGGATGTCCCGAGCCCTCTCGTAGGACTGGTAGGCCACCTTCTCCTCCATGCTGGCCAGCTCCTGCTTCAGGTTGGTCATCTCGTTCTGGTGAAGCTCAGTCAGGTCGTTCAGTTGCTCCTCCAGCCGTTCGTACCTGGAAGAGGGAGAAGGCGTGACACCGGGCCTGGCTCCTGAGCCCCCCTTCTCTCCCCAGGACCAGGTCCATTTGTTCTCAACAACGATGCCACCAGCCGCGCGTGTCAGCCCCACCGCAGATGCAACACGAACGGCTCCGCTTCCGCAGCACGTCAGGGGGGCCGCACGGAGCACGCCCCCAGGTGATCTCGCAGGGTCATCCCTACAACCCCACAAGGTGAGCACTAGTCACCCCCATTTTACAGATGAGAAAACGGAGGCACGGAGAGGTCAAGGCATTTGCCCCGAGCTCAGGTGCTCTCCTGCCACCAGGCACACAGGGGTGTACAGTACGGCCCAAGCTCTGAAAGCACAGGCATTGCAAGACGACGCTTAGGTGGGGGTGGGTAGTTTTCCAGCAGGGCTTCCCCGAGGTTTTCCAAGCCTTCTTCACAGATGTAAATGAGAAAAGGCACTAAGGATAGAACCCCGAAGGGCTCAGGGAGCAAGTGCCAACGCCACACTAGAGGCATGGAGCAGGAGAGTCGGTGGGCAGAGGGGAGGAGGGACCGACTCGAGTTACACTGGCCATGACAGGTATTTACACCCTCTAACCTCACAGGTTTGGTCTCATTTCATTCTCAGACGCTTCAAGTGGAGATTCATGTTATTCTCACCTCACAGACAAGGAAACCAGGTGCAGAGTGCAGTTAGGACTTTGCTCAAGGTGGAGAGAAGAGTAGAGCTGGGATTTGAACCCAGGTAGCCTGGCTCCAGAATCAGTGCTCGTAACAGAGGAGAAGCTATGTAGCTGGTCCCTGCCTCCGTTTCCCCTTCTGCACACTGACCACATAAGCAACAGTGGCGATGCTCACAGCCCCCGAGACAGGCAGAGACTTCCTTTCACAGGAAGGAGGTCTCTGCACACCCGCCACCCAGCTGCTCAGACTGGTCTGCAGGAAGGCTCCTCAGCGCCTCTCCCTGGTGCCTCCCAGCAGCCCGGGACCCTTCTGATGCTCTTCCACCTGCCCCCACAGCCCTGCGTCTGAAATTACCGGGCGGCAGCAAGGGTGGAAGCAGCACCTACCTGTAGCGCTCCTCCTGCAGGCACTGGGTCATGCAGGTGTAGTCCCTTTGCAGCTGAGCCTTCAGGTCCTCCATCGAGTCCTCCAGGTGGGACTGTCCCTCCTTGATCTCTCGCAGCTCTTCCAGCAAAGCATCCAGGTTTCCAGGGGCCCCATACAGCGTGTTCGACTTGGGGCTCCCCAGCGCCCCAGGGGGCCCAGCCCCAGAGTTGCTGCCGGCCCCGGCAGAGCTGGCACTGGCGCTGGAGCACTCGTCATCGCTGCCGTACTTGGGGCTGGACACGAGGGTGGCACTGCCACTCAGCGCCCGGGCTGCCTCCTCGGGGGGCCCATCCTCCAGAGGGTCCTTCAGGTGGGCAATGTTGTCAGCACTGCCAAACTTGTTGCGGATCAGGCTGGCGAACTCCCGGGGCTTGGACACCACGGCGGTGTGGGTGGCCTGCGAGAGGCCGGAGAGGCTGCCCTTGACGCCCTCCACCACACCGCCCCCAAAGCCACTGATGCCCGCGCGCATGTTGGCGCCCACGTCCTTCAGCCCCTGCTGCATGTCCCGCAGCACGTCCTTGGGCTGCCGCGAGGGCCCGTTCTGCTCGATCTCCCGCAGGCGCCGGCGGTAGTGCTCCAGCTTCTTGTGCAGCTGGGCGATGGTCTGAGCAGACTTCTGGTTCTTCTTCTCGAACACCTGCTTGATGCGCGACACCTGCTGCTTGTCCGCGTTGTTGGCCAGCTTTAGGTACTCGGCCACATTGTCGTCACGTGCCTCCTGCTCGATCCTGATCTGCTCCGTGATCTTCAGAATCTTCTGGTGCAGGTGGTCGATGGCGGCCTTGGTCCGCTGAGGGTCTGGGGTCCCGTCCGGCACATCTAGGCTGATGGGGATGTCAGTGTCACCATGGCCAGGGCCACCAGGAAGGCTCAGGGCCACGAGGTCCCCCTTGTCCACCTAGGGAAGAAGGCAGTAGAGGAAGCCTGGGTAAATCATGAAACCAGGAGAGGGAGCCAGGGTTCGCTCAGGGGCCCCGACACCTCTGGACTTGGTTTCTCTCCTAGGAAATGGAGGCAGATGAATGGAAAACTTCAGAAAGAGCGTTCAGAAGAACAACAACGATTACAACAGTATTCCCTTACCGCTGCCACCTGTCACCTCACTAATCCCCACACACCAGAGACAGGCTGTCCAGGCAGCTCTGTTCCTCCTGCAGGTCAGAGAGTTCAAGCAAGTTGCTCAGGGACACACAGCTGCGAGAGGACAGAACCCCGGCCCGGAGCTCCCGCTGCTCCGCCCCACAGACTGAGCAGGTCTGAGACTTCATCGGAGAGTCACGGGGCCAGTTTCTCAGGGATGAGGCAAACTGTCCCTCCAACCAGCCTCCCCAATGGCTGCTGCCTTGAGCAGGCCTCCCCCCTCAGAACCAACCAGCACCTGCACTCTGGCCCCAGAGCCAGCACAGAAAGCCCCTCCACGCCCCAGCTCCTGATACAACTCTGTGGGTCACCGCCTCCGCTGACACCCCTGCCGGCCCCCCTTACCTCCCAGCTCTCTGGAGCTGTCAGCAACCTCTTCCGCTTCATCATGGTGGGAGCACCCACCCTGCCCATCCGTCTCCCAGAACTGAGACAGGCGCACCCCCTGCCCCCGCCCTGATGGCCAGGGCCCTGAGACTCAGGTCCCAGAAGTAACCAACAGGCTAAGACAGGCACAGACGTGGGGGCCCGGGGCTACCAGCTTCCCGGCTGGGAAGAGGGTGAATGTGCAGGAGAGGCGGCAGTCCCTTTTCCTTGCCAGAAGGCACACAGGCTCCCCCAGCGCATTGGGGTGGCAGGAAGAAAAAGGAGAGACTGATAAAGGAGGTGGGGTGGGGGAAAGGGGAAGGTCTCAGAAGACGGGAAAGACGGAAAGGCAGGTCAGGTGAGGGCAGGTGGGCCAGGAGCCCTGTCCCGGGGCTGAGCCCCCTGGCCGACTGGAGGGTCTAGTTGCATGGCCGAGCCCCCAGTGTCTTTATCGCCATGCAACAGCGGAAACAGCAGGAAATGGCTAACCCCAAGTATTTTTACACACCGCACAGCCCAGTGTGGCCGGGTCAGATCATCGCTCTTTGTGTGAAGGGGGTGGGGCAGGGCAAGTGGCCCGGTCACGCGCACCAGGACTGGAAACAGCCAAGGTCAAAGGTATCAGAAAATACTGTTAAGCAACAGCCCCGCCAAACTCCGGGCGGCCCCGCATGGGCTTCCTCAGGGGGCCCTTCCAGGTCACAGCATCCTCCCCTGTGACACAGGGGCAATCACAGCTACTCCCAGGTCTGTGGTGAGGTCGCCAGATAAGCCTGAGCAGACCCCGTGCCACGTGCAGGGTGTGCAGGGTGTGCAGGGCGCGCAGGGCAAGCAGGAGGCACCCCCAGCTGCCTGGTCTAGGCTGGGCAACTCTATGTTGGGGGTAAAATTTATTTGAGACACTATACCTGCAAATTCACTCAGTACTGATGTGGTCATATAGATGTTGAACTATACAAAATTAAGTTCTGTGTGCAGCACACAGTTTTCCAATCAAGGAACTTGATCCTTTCATACGGCCACTGCGCTGTCCAAAAAGACCGGACTCTTTCCCTTTCCCCAGGCTCTGAGCGGGGCAAGGACGCCCGGAAGAGGAGTCTGGGTCGGCCGCAACGCCGCCCGGGGCCCAGCGCGCCGTCCTCTGCTCAGCTCCATCAGGCGAGGACTGGAAAATGCTGTGGAAAGGGAGTGTGAGACAGCTCTGCGCTGGCAGCCAGAAGCTGTGCCCGGGTCTAGAGTCCATCTAGCTTAGAAGTGGAAAGCGGAGTTACAGCTGGCTGTGAAATCCCCGTGGATGAGAGGCAGACAGACACCAGGAAAACCAGCTGGGGCCTCCGTGGTGCCCTGCCCGCCCCTTCTCTGCCCTGGGCCCCGACTCAAGCCTGGGGATCCTGCAGCAGGACACCAGCCCCTCACTGCCCCTCCACTGAAGCCTGCCAGTCACAGCACATCCCCTTCACTGTCCCAGCCATGAAGGAAGGCGACATGCAGGAGGGAGGGGTCCGCCCTGCCCTGCCCTCGGCACCCCCAGAGCAGTGTCCTTTCAGGACTGAAAGGGGATGGGGCGGCTGAGGGACAAAGAGCCAAGGAGCAGGCAGGAGACGGGCAGAGGTACAAGAAGGGAAGACGCTTTGACCAAGAAGGACAATGAGAACACGACAAGAACGAGAAAGCCGTGCCGAGGAGTGGAGAGAGGAGGAGGCAGAGATCCGCAGCAGCAGCAGTGAAGCGTGGCCTCGTCCCGGAAGCAGAAGGGGCCTGAACCTGCAGTCGGACGGCGGCACGCAGTCCTGGCTGTCACTCGCCAGCTGTGGGTCCTTGGATGTGTCAGTAACTTTTCTGGGGCCCGGTTTCCTCATCTAGAAAAGGAGTATGATTCTACCTGCATCCAAGGGCTGTCCGGAGGGTGGAGCGGGACATGGCGCGTGAGGCGCCAAGGACAGCACAAGCTCAGAGCCTGCGGAGGTGCTCACAACCAAGTAAGAGTAAGTTAAGCGGTACTCCATATGCACTGGAATGGCTGTAATTCTAAAAAGGAAGGCAACTGTTGGCGAGGCTGTGGAGAATCGGAACCTCACGGAGGGAATGTCAAGTGGAGCAGCTGCTGTGGGAAACAGCCTGGCGATTCCTCAAAAAGTTAAACGTAGAATCGCCGCACGACCAGCTGTTCCACGCCCAGGTGCAGACCCAGAGAACTGGAAGCAGGTGTTCAGGTATCTGCGCACATACACCTGCTCACAGCAGTAGTGACTCACAATAGCCAGCGGGCGGACGGGACTCAAACGCCCATTAGCTAGTGGGTGGGCGAACAAAACCAGTCTGCCCACTCAAAGGACATCACTGGCCATAAAAGGAGTGAGTGCCCTAACACGGCAAGCCCCAGGCCGTCACACTACGTGACAGCACCAGATCCGGAAGGTCACACACTGAGTGGCTCCCTCTATATGAAACGTCCAGAACAGTTAAATCCACAGACACAGAAGGCAGAGTCAGGGTTGCCAGGGCTGGGGGAAGGAGACAAAAGAGTGACTGCTCAGTGGGCACTGGCTTCCTGTGGGGGGTGACAGTGTCCCGAACCCAAGGGCTGCACATCCTGGGTACGGAAGGCCCGGCCTGCCAGCCTGGGCCCAGGGTCCTACCGTGGAATGGTCTGAGGGATGGCGCCTGGCCTTCAACTTACAGTTACGTTTTCGCCAGAGCAGAAGTTTTGGTCTAGAAAGTTCTGGGAGACTAACAAGAACAGCAATGCTGATCACTCAACCCCCAGTCGCCAACAGGTGAAACTCCCGGAGTCCCCCAGCCAGAGAGCATGGACGTGGGTGGGCCGCAGGGGCAGCATGTTCCCCTCTCAAACCATCATGGCCTCACAGGGCCCAGCCACCAGCACCACACCCGGAGCTGTGGCCCCAGCACTGTGGCCCCAGGCCCCACTCTCCTGTCTGACAGGGGCTGGACTCTCCACAGGCACCGGGCCCCTGTGCTCAGGCTGAGCAACTTCTAAGAAGAGACTGTGGAGGGAGGCCCACGCCTCTTCCACCAGCCCCGCTATGCCAGGCAATCATGTTGCGCTCCCTGTGTAGCATGCCCACCAGCCAGGGCTGGGATCAAAGACCTCGTTCCAACAGAGACTCGGCTCCAAGCTGATGAACACTCTGCAAGGGCCAGAACGGGGACGCTGTCTTAAGTGTCCAGGGCCCGACTTCCTCTTTTTGTCCCCCTGCCCCGGGAGACCTGCCACAGCTCGGCGCCCCTCCACGTAGCCTCCCCGGTCCTGGACTCTCCTCCCCACCCTCTTGCAGCAACTCAAAGCAGAGCCAGATTAGGCACCCAGCCAGATCTGAGGGCCTCCCCGGCCCTGACTCCCAGGCCTCCCGCCTGAGCTCATGTCTGCGTGTCAACCTGGCCCAAATACAGGACAGCGGCTCTTCCTCTGAACACTAGCCCAGCGGCCTGCGTCCCTGCGGCCGGCAGTACCCACACTGCAGACAGAAAGTGTCCAGGCCCCCACGCCACTGTGGGGAGAGGCCCCCACTGTGTGAGAGAGGGAAAGGGCCCTAACTGAAGGTGTGCTCCACACCTCTAGTCCCTGGTGCCTGGGGGACTTGGGGTGGGGGGGCTCCTAGGCCGACGCCCCTCCCCCAGGGACAGGCAGCACCTCCCTGGATTTACAAAGCGCTCCTGCCAGGGCTCCCAGAGCTGGCTGACACAGAGATGGGGCCCTCCTGACCATGCCATCTGCTCCGGGGTTGCAAAGGCAGCACTAAAGCAGGTCCCCCTTACACACGCAAAAAGAAAAGAGCTCTGGGAGTCCTATGTCCCCTTCAGGAGAGCAGGGCAGCCCTGTATTCAGGAACAGGTGGCCCTCAGGTCCCCTCCCAGGGCGGGGAACTAGGGGGGTCAGGTGTCAAGCCTGCCTTGCCCATGGGTCTGGCCAAGCCGATTGAGGTCCATGCAGATACTGCCCTAAGCAGGGAGGGCTAGGGCTTCTGGGGCCTAAAGGCCCAGCAGGTGAGCTGTGCTGGAAGCTCAGTCCCAGGTGATAGCACGATGCTTGTGTCTGCTGACTTCTGGCCTGAGCTTCTAAGCACCCTTCTTGGGACGGAGAGCACCCAGACCCCTTTTTCTGTGAGTTTCAGAGGGAAAGAGAGGTCGGCCAGGCCAGATGGGGAGGAAAAGCTGCAGCCAGCGAAAATCCTTCCGCACAAAGAGGCAGCTGGGAGGGAGGGAGTCTGACATCTCCCATGCCAACCTGGCACTGCAGCCGGAGCAGGCAGGAAAATCACCCGGCTCTCTGACCTGGCATCAGGGGCTGCCCATTCTCCCAAACTGGCGGCCCAGCTGCTGGGTGGGCTGCTCTCTCTCTTCCTGCCCGAAACACTGGGGCAACACTGC